AGGCTGTAGTTCCAATGTGTTGATACAAGTTGATTGATGCAGGGTGTAGTTACAGTGTGTGGATACAAGGTGACTGATGCAGTGTGTAGTTACAATGTCTTGATACAAGGTGGCTGATGCAGTCTGTAGTTACAATGTGTTGATATAAGGTGATTGATGCAGGCTGTAGTTCCAATGTGTTGATACAAGGTGATTGATGCAGTGCGTAGTTACAGTGTGTGGATACAAGGTGATTGATGCAGTGCGTAGTTACAGTGTGTGGATACAAGGTGATTGATGCAGTGTGTAGTTACAATGTGTTGATACAAGGTGGCTGATGCAGTCTGTAGTTACAATGTGTTGATACAAAGTGATTGATGCAGTGTGTAGTTACAATGTGTTGATACAAGGTGATTGATGCAGTGTGTTGATATAAGGTTATTGATGCAGGCTGTAGTTCCCATGTGTTGATAAAAGGTGATTGATGCAGTGTGTAGTTATAGTGTGTAGATACAAGGTGATAGATGAAGGGTGTTCTTACGTGTGGATACAAGGTGATTGATGCAGTGTGTAGTTCCAATGTGTTGATACAAGTTGATTGATGCAGGGTGTAGTTACAGTGTGTGGATACAAGGTGACTGATGCAGTGTGTGGTTACAATGTCTTGATACAAGGTGGCTGATGCAGTCTGTAGTTACAATGTGTTGATATAAGGTGATTGATGCAGGCTGTAGTTCCAATGTGTTGATACAAGTTGATTGATGCAGGGTGTAGTTACAGTGTGTGGATACAAGGTGACTGATGCAGTGTGTGGTTACAATGTCTTGATACAAGGTGGCTCATGCAGTCTGTAGTTACAATGTGTTGATATAAGGTGATTGATGCAGGCTGTAGTTCCAATGTGTTGATACAAGGTGATTGATGCAGTGTGTAGTTACAATTTGTTGATACAAGGTGATTGATGCAGTGTGTTGATATAAGGTGATTGATGCAGGCTGTAGTTCCAATGTGTTGATACAAGTTGATTGATGCAGGGTGTAGTTACAGTGTGTGGATACAAGGTGACTGATGCAGTGTGTAGTTACAATGTCTTGATACAAGGTGGCTCATGCAGTCTGTAGTTACAATGTGTTGATATAAGGTGATTGATGCAGGCTGTAGTTCCAATGTGTTGATACAAGGTGATTGATGCAGTGTGTAGTTACAATGTGTTGATACAAGGTGATTGATGCAGTGTGTTGATATAAGGTGATTGATGCAGGCTGTAGTTCCAATTTGTTGATACAAGTTGATTGATGCAGGGTGTAGTTACAGTGTGTGGATACAAGGTGACTGATGCAGTGTGTAGTTACAATGTCTTGATACAAGGTGGCTCATGCAGTCTGTAGTTACAATGTGTTGATATAAGGTGATTGATGCAGGCTGTAGTTCCAATGTGTTGATACAAGGTGATTGATGCAGTGTGTAGTTACAGTGTGTGGATACAAGGTAATTGATGCAGTGTATAGTTACAATGTGTTGATACAAGGTGATTGATGCAGGGTGTAGTTACAATGTGTTGATAAAAGGTGACTAATTCAGTGTGTTGATACAAGGTGATTGATGCAGGGTGTATATACAATGTGTTGATACAAGGTGATTGATGCAGTGTGTAGTTACAGTGTGTGGATACAAGGTAATTGATGCAGTGTATAGTTACAATGTGTCGATACAAGGTGATTGATGCAGGTTGTAGTTACAATGTGTTGATAAAGGTGACTGATTCAGTGTGTTGATACAAGGTGATTGATGCAGTGTGTTGATATAAGATGATTGATGCAGGCTGTAGTTCCAATGTGTTGATACAAGATGATTGATGCAGGTTGTAGTTACAATGTGTCAGTGTGTTGATACAAGGTGATTCATGCAGTGTGTAGTTACAATGTGTTGATACAAGGTGATTGATGCAGTGCGTAGTTACAGTGTGTGGATACAAGGTGATTCGTGCAGTTAGAGTTACAGTGTGTGGATACAAGGTGATTGATGCAGTGTGTAGTTACAATGTGTTGATACAAGGTAGCTGATGCAGTCTGTAGTTACAATGTGTTGATACAAAGTGATTGATGCAGGGTGTAGTTACAGTGTGTTGATAGAAGGTGATTGATGCAGTGTGTAGTTACAGTGTGTTGATAGAAGGTGATTGATGCACGTTGTAGTTACAGTGTGTTGATAGAAGGTGATTGATGCAGGGTGTAGTTACAGTGTGTTGATGAAAGGTGATTGATGCAGTGTGTTGATATAAGGTGATTGATGGAGGCTGTAGTTACAATGTGTTGATACAAGGTGATTGATGCAGTGTGTAGTTCCAATGTGTTGATACAAGTTGATTGATGCAGGGTGTAGTTACAGTGTGTGGATACAAGGTGACTGATGCAGTTTGTAGTTACAATGTCTTGATACAAGGTGGCTTATGCAGTCTGTAGTTACAATGTGTTGATATAAGGTGATTGATGCAGGCTGTAGTTCCAATGTGTTGATACAAGGTGATTGATGCAGTGTGTAGTTACAGTGTGTGGATACAAGGTAATTGATGCAGTGTATAGTTACAATCTGTTGATACAAGGTGATTGATGCAGTGTGTTGATATAAGGTGATTGATTCAGGCTGTAGTTCCAATGTGTTGATACAAGGTGATTGATGCAGGGTGTAGTTACAGTGTGTGGATACAAGGTGATTGACGCAGTGTGTAGTTACAGTGTGTGGATACAAGGTGATTGATGCAGTGTGTAGATATAGTGTGTCGATACAAGGTGATAGACGCAGTGTGTAGTTACAGTGTGTGGATACAAGGTGATTGATGCAGTGTGTATGCAGTCTGTAGTTACAATGTGTTGATACAAGGTAATAGATGCAGTGTGTAGTTACAGTGTGTGGATACAAGGTGCTTGATGCAGTGTGTAGTTCTAATGTGTTGATACAAGGTGATTGATGCAGTGTAGTTACAGTGTGTTGAAACAAGGTGATTGATGCAGTGTGTAGTTACAGTGTGTGGATACAAGGTGATTGATGCAGTGTGTAGTTCTAATTTGTTGATACAAGGTGATTGGTGAGTGTGTAGTTACAGTGTGTTGATACAAGGTGATTGATGCAATCTGTAGTTACAATGTGTTGTTGTGTCAAAATGGGAAATTGCATCCGACATCATTTTTGTAACTGATGCATCAAATATGGAAATGCCATGTACATATCCACCATAAAACCTTTTGAAAGCTTAACTGAAGCCTTGAATGCTGTAACCTTGATCTAACATCATATGATGCTCTGGTCACCAATGGTTGGAGCTGCTGGAATATTGCTTGATGAAAAAAGAAAGCTGAGCCATCCCTCTTGTCATACAGTCTTGTGAATAGATATTTTTCACTCTGAATATGAATATACACCTAAATAGGAAACAGATGAGGCAGTCCCACTGGTCCCTTATATCTAGTTTAGCTGGGTAAATCAGTGGAAGGGAATTGCCTATTTGATGGTTATTAAATGATATCAGTACATCAACATACTTGAAGCTGAAGTTAAACTTCTTGGTCAAATTCCCTTGTTTTGACTTAGCCAATCTGGGCAGAAATCCTGATACATTTGCAAATAGAAACAGATCAGCATGAAGGGGAGGACAACAGGTGCCCTTGGGGATGCCTACATCTTGCCTAGATGTCTTACCCCCAAAGTTTACATTGATGTTATCAATGAGGAAGTCCGGCATTTCACATATTGTTTTCTGAGTAAACTTCAGATGGAATTTGCTTTCATTTTTGACAAATTGTCCTGAACATCTGAAGATAGATATGTAACTATATCCATGCTCACCACATTTAGTAACAAATGCCCCACAGATAAAGGAATAGAGTTTTTCCTGAAGTTTGTTATGTGGGATAGTGGTGTACAAACTTGAAAATCAAATGTTTTGACAGAATTGAACTTGGTTCTTTTCTGAGATTGCAAAACTTTAAGTAAATCCTTTGAGATTTTGTGTTAGAATCCACATATTAATTCCACTTGTCTCAAATACTTTCTTTGAATATATAGAAAAGATTATGTCCCTTTGGTACATTTGCTGGACCCAGCAGTCTTTCTTTTTGTACAATTTTTTGTGGATCCTTGGAATCCAGTACAAAAGAGGAATCGACATGTCTTCAAGTTTTAGAGTCAAGTCAAAAGTTGATAGTACTGATGCATGGTTTTGGCAGATATTTCTTTCCCACTTTACATACTGGCCTGATATGTGGCATTACTTCACTAGTCACCTATACCAAGTTCTTTGAACAGACAATTAATGTAGTTATGATTACATATAATGGTTATGTTATTTTAGGCCTAGTCAGTGAGAACAACTACAAACTTTTCATGTAGGGCAGCCAGACAGCAGGCTGGGACAGAATGGGTTTATACCAATTCTGTTTCCTGTTTTTCAGTTTGTGCATTCTACCAATGACAACATCATGCACCCACTTTGAGAGACATTCCTCAGGTTTCTGTTCTCTGATTATTTGGCATATGCTTCGATAACACCCATAATGATCTTAAAGTTGTGATCCTAAATGGTAGGAGGCTGCTAAGATATTTTGGTCCACATGTGAATACCAGGAACTGACAAAGGTTGTTATTGTCAACAATGGAGAAGTGACCTGTGATTATATGACCTACAGGTTGGTAACAGTAGGATGAGTCTTGGCAGCCACAAGTAGAGGAATTTACTGGAGTTGTATCAATACAACATGTGGTCACGCCCGATATTGACATTTTTAATTGAGTTGTTACACCACCCCTCTTTTAGGGCAGTTCTCTCCATCTCCTGTTGCCAGGTATGGGTTTTGTCAATGAATTTGTTTGGATAAAACATAGATCATACCAATGACCAAATATTGAGTTGTTATTTTCTGTAATGTAACAATTACACCACAATTTTTTAAGCTGCAGTTACATGTTTCTGCAAGTATATTTTGAACAGAATTTTTCTTTTTGTCTTTTTGTGTTTGAATTCCTACCTTATTCTCTTTATTCTCTTCCAGAAACCCCATTCCACCAAGTCTCCAGCAACCTCGTCTTGTCACCAGTATGGACTGTGGGCAGATATTGCGATGCAATTTTTGTTCTGAGTAGTGTAAGAAAGAAAGGGCTTCTGTAATCTGCACAGAATAAAAAGGCAACATTATTTTTATTGCCCCTAAAACATATATTCATCACAAAGTTTACACGTTTTGCATTATACAATTCACAATCACTCTGTTGATAACAACCATCAACCTTGAGGTGCATCAACAGGTATTTTAACATCATGTGAGATTCTATGAGAGTCTGCCATACTCTACTACTGTACTAGCATGCAGCAAAAGAAACTTTGATCATCTCTTCGAAGAGATGTTCAAAAGATGGACATTGATGGCCTGACCAGAAAAGAATCATGGCTTGTTTGTTTGTTTGGGGCAGTGTTACTTATAAACTTCCATATGACCCTATTGTGCAAATTAACTCAAAGATAGTGCTAGTGATACTTATAGAATTCCATTCTGTCCTCAAGTAAGATGTATGGGGAAGATTCATACTTACTTATACTATCAATGATATGGGACATGACAAATACAATGTTGATGATATGGCAACTGCAGCCGTTGGCCTGTGGCAGTCATTTTTCATGGTTTATTTGTATATATGTGGTATTGGTTGTAGACAGTGTAGTTGTTGTGTTTTTTTGGATTATGTATGGTACAAGTTTCCAGGCTGATTGGTCCAAGCTGAACTTGGGCTGGCCAGTTCTTTTGTTTTATGGTGAGGGTCAAGGATAATCTTTTGTCTTGCCTTTAGAGGGCAAGCTATTCTTTGCTCTCCGCTTGGTCAGTTTTATCTTCAATACTAATGTATTGTACCATGTACAGCTGCACTGGACAGTCACTGCATGAGACATATATTGTGACACTTATTGTGACAGACAAGGCTTTTCACAGCTACATCTTTCTCTCTAAAGGTTAGTTTTAATACTAAATTATAAACATTATGTAGAATGTAATATTTGTTTTAGTATAGAATGTATAGTGTAAATATTATTTCAGTGTAGGTTATTATAGTGTGATTTGAGTGTATGAATGTATTTAAAGTCATTAGTATAAGTACAGTAATGATTATAAGCACACCATTCATGTTTATGATTTTCTTATATGATGTGAATGTGCTACAATATATTTATGTTAAAGGTAATATATATAAGTATGTATGTCCGCCATACTGTCCACCATTTTGTCGGCCGTGTTTAATATTCAATATCATGGTACATGTAATGTTTGTGCCATGAGAAATTAATCAATATAATTTTAATTCATGTGTGTTGTGTTATATAGTGAGCATATTACAGCACAGGTAATGTTATGCTTGTAAGTCTTAGATAAGGGTATATTTATTTAGGTTTATCTATGCCATTCCATTTTAGATTATGTTTATAGTAGGTTTAGAATGAATTAATATGGCAGTAGATTACTGTGTATATTATTTTATGATATTTATATTAAACTAAGTTAGAGTAACATGTGTATGTTATCAGTTAAGCCTCAGTCACACAGACAATGCCACCACGATGCAACCTCCTGGCGACCCAAATATTTGACAATCGCAATAAGGTTTCAGGGGTCTCTGACAGGTTTTCACTGAGGTTGCTACGAGGTTTCAGAGCGGTCACAAAACCCATTCTGTCGCAACCAGTCTTTTGAACATGCACAAAAGACTGGCTGCGACCGATTTGGTCGCACAGAGGTTTCACTGGTCTCCTAGAGGTCCACAAGTGATAAGTAGTACAGGTAATGGTGATTCTGGCTCACTTCCACTGGAGCCATATTTCATATACCTATACCACCACTACAGGTGGCATTTTTTATGTGTAAATGACTATGCGATTCAACGATAGTCATGAGATTAAGTTAAATTGACTCTCGATCACAACCATCTGGAGTCAATAAATGATTCTATGATATTCAACGATAGTCATGAATCGTATTAAAAGAAATATCAATATTAATTAATAATGGATAAAATTTACTATAGCCCACGAGGATATTGGAAAGGTATAGGAGCAATACAAAAATGAGCCACCGCGGCTAAGGTATCTAAAGATGTGGCCAAGGATTGGTTAAAGAAACAAGCGATGTGGCAAATATACTTACCAGCACAGCGTTATATACCGAGGAAGAAGTTTGATATTTTTACAACGAATGAAGTTCATCAGGCTCACCTCTTGTTTCTTCCCCACGATAAGGTAAGACGCAAAACGTATAAATACGCTTTAACCGTAGTGGATGTGACTAGTCGATACAAAGAGGCTGAGCCATTAACCTCGAAAGATTCAACAGAAGTAGCTAATGCACTAAGCCGTATATATAAACGCGGACCACTAAAATGGCCTAAGCTATTTCGAGTAGATCCCGGTCGCAAGTTTATGGGATCGGTAACTAAACTGTTAACAAAGCACAATGTCGAAATCAGGCGTGGTGAAAGAGAGGCCCACCGCAGTCAAGCTATCGTCGAAAGATTAAACAGAACATTAGCGGAACGTTTGTTTGGCTATCAGTATGGGATCGAAATGAAATCGGATTGATTAAGATCAACCAAATGGGTGACACGATTATCAGCTGTTGTATCAGCGCTGAATAATGAAGTAACAAGATTAATCAGGAAGAAACCATCAGATGCGATTAAAATGAAATCTGTGACTTCCGAATCTTCAGCACCGAGGAGACTTCCGGATAGAGTAAGCGTAAGATATTTATACCAGCCCGGTGAACTCGAAGGAGGTCTACGTCGCGCAACAGATCCGATTTGGTCTCTTAAGACATATAACATTAGTCGATTGGTTAAGAAAGAAGGAGAGCCTATTCTTTATTATCTTCAAGATGGACCGGGCAGGGCATTTGTACGTGAAGAGTTGTTCATAGTTCCTGACGATACGTTATTACCACCATAACCATAAGCATAGGTAGTTACACCATCATTATCAATCCATCTCTTTGTATCTAAGGGGGATAATGATGTCTTGTTCATTCTTAATCCATATATCCTATGATTGTAACTTCTTAAAGAGTTCATCTCGTGATTGAACATTCTACCGTTGAATAATGATTCTTTATACTGTTCGTGTTTGATATGCTTTTTTACTACATACTTCTTAACACCCTTAGCTTTTCTTATCTCCCCATTATCAGACTTCTTTATAGAATACATCTTAGGTCTTAATCCGACATACTCCGCTATAGGGGTCCCAGCGCATTCATCCTTCATCTTACCTAACACCTTTTTATTTACTACGCTGTGCAGTGGATTATCTTTGGGGTAATTGCTCGTATCGTACATATCTATTTTTTCTGCCATATCTTTATACACATCCTCGGTTTGTATTTCCATCAACAAAGAATCTGTGTCGGTATATAACACCTCACATCTGTTCCCGTATTGCTTCTTAAGTTCGTTGTAATAAAAGTCATACCTTAAGTGTTTTGACAAGTCAAGAATACTCATACTGACGTACACCGGTCTGTTGAGTTTTATATTACTCTTCTCCATATGCAACGCGGCTAAGTCGTTATCGAATATCTTGCTTCTGTTAAAAGCCGGACTGGCTATAAGTTTCCTGAGTCTTTCTTTCTCATTAGATCTGACTAATTTAACATCAACACGCTTCCTTAGATTCTCCATAGTTTTACCAAATACTGAGTTATTCATGAGCTTATATAGATTCTTTTCGAAATCACTGGTGGCTATCTTTCTTAAATCTGTGTTCAACCTTATATAGGGCTCCATCCAAGGGCTTTGATCAAACTTTAGAACTCTGTGTATTTTCTTAAGTTTCATACCTAACGATAGATAAAGATAGAGATTTCTGTAGTGAACTATATATTTTGTCTTATCCATCAAATTTGGTACAAGTTTTTCTACGTTAGCTATCCTACTATTACCCATCAAGGAGCGTTGATATTCCGACATCCAATCTTTATTAACCATTAATCTTTTGGGAGCTAGCGGATAACTGTTATGATCTTTATGTAACGAATTTGGATATTCCAAGTCAACTTCTAGTATGTACCCTTTATTCGCATCATTCACATTGATATCATCGACCCACTCCAAACCACCCGTGGGTAAAGGTTGACTCATAGCCCATCCGTACAAATTGTTGGCGTCGAGATATAATATATGCGTGTCGGGTTTACTCGGATCATATCCTTCCACTAATTTATTATTAGCCTTAGAATACCTTTTCGCCGCAATCGATATACCACCTCTTAATCCTTTCTCAATAAACAAGTGCATATCGTAATCGGTGAGTCCGGGACTGGAATAGTACCATGCCGGGGCCAAACCGTATTGTTTTAAACATGTCTTTCTAAATATCTCGAATATATCGGCGAGTAACAGTACATCGGATTTTAAGTACAGATCGTGATAATCGCCTAAATTCTTACAACCTAATTTATCCCAGACCGTCAGAGCGTGTTCATAATCGGCATCGGTTATTTTAGATTCTGTTAAATTACTATAGAATGATTCAAGGGGTAGTAAGTTAGTTTCGTCTAATCTTGACCAATCATCCATATATTCGTAAGGATATACACCTTTTCTCAACAACAAATGACGCGTTAACCTATCGGTATATCTATTTGTTATCACAAAGTCATCGGGATTGTTCACTAAATTGTCCAGGGAAGAAAACTGAAACTGAACGGAGTCTATGAATCTAAGTCCATTACTTTGCTTTATTCTGACTTTCCCATCCTTGTCCCTATAATGTATAGTTTTAGTCAACGAGAATGATATGTATTTTTCCATATTATTAGGAATGCACGTTAAGCCACCGTCGGTCTTTGAGATAGCTTGCATAATGAGATGTTAATCGTATCCTCTAAGGTGGTGAAACACAACGGGGATTGGTATTGTTTGAGAATTCATTTTTAGTTTCAAGTTACACTCGTTATGCGCGGCTCCCAGATAATTACCCATGACGTGGCAATGATCTCTTATGGAATCCCCATTCAGGGGTTTATTACAAACATGACAACTATTTGACTTCTTATAGGCCCTCCAATTATCCCTCGTCATACACATGAGTTTCTTACACGATAAATTTTCCCTGATTAATCTCTCTTCGTTT